AGGCTCCTTGGTCAGGAGTTCTGGTGTTAGGTCAGGGCTCTATTAATCGTATATATAATGAAAATGCATTCATTCTTTTAAAAAAAATCTTTTCTTGTATGAAGCAGAAAATCTTTTCTTGTATGAAGCAGAATTTATTCAAAAACTTCTACATGAGAAGAAGAAAACACTTGCTGTGGCCTTCAACTGCACATTAAGATATATTGACAACGTATTCTCAATTAACAATAGTTACTTTCATTCATATGTCGATTCAAACTATCCCAGTGAACTAGAAATAAAAAACACCACGGATTCTGCCAAATCTGTTTCATATTAGTATGTTTTACTGACTATAGACGACAAAGGCCAGCTAACAACTAAATTGTATGACAAACGAGATGACTTCAGCTTTTCCGTCGTCAACTTTTCTTTTTTCTTTTTTTGTAGTAATATTCCGCTATCACCTGCATATGGTGTTTATGACTCCCAACTTACTCACTACTCAAAGAGCATGTTCTGAGTACGACCACTTTTTAAACCCAGACAGGCTACGCACACGTAGGTTGATGTCACAGGGATTTCAAAAATCTTGTTTGATGTCAGCATTCCGTAAATTCTATGGTCGTTATAATGAACTTATAAGCAAATATTACTTTATCATTTGGTCGTATTTTGGCTGATTTGTTTCTTACCAGTTGTTGGTTCTTTGTTCTTTGTCACACGGCGGGTGTGACCGGTCAACAGGCGATGCTTACTCCTCCTAGGCACCTGATCCCACCTCTGGAATTTACAGGGATCCGTGTTTATGCCCTGTTCACAGATTTGTATTGTATGAAATTTTTATGAGATAGATCACTATTCATTTTCCTCACCCTTTTCCTCATCCTTTTTATTATCCTTTGTATATTAAATTCTGATTATTAGTCAATGTAAATAATGTAGTAAAATGAAATATTTGTATAAGATTTTTTAAAATATCATGCAAAAAAGTACGTTTGTCATTTTTTTTAATGTCAGGTAGGCTTGTTAGTGATAATAAATAAACATCAATCAAAATATACTTTACATTTATATTCGAACCATAAATTTCTAAAAGAACAGGAAAGGCTGATTGAAAGGCGTCTCTGTTGTGTTTCCTTTGCATCATTCTGAATCACTATATTGTACTTAAGATTGGGGAAAGTGCGCTTAGAAAGTAACAAGCACTGGCATATACAGTTATACATAAATCTATGTTCAGATTTGTTGCAGATTACCAGACATAGTAGATCTTTAAAAAATTAAATATGATCTCAAATGAAATTTAAATCATGCAAAGTTTGTAAATAATTGATAAATGTTTAAAAAGCACCATAAAAATGTAATTATTTAGAAACAAAATTATTAATGACTCAAACAAACAAATGCTGACAAAAGACTTTTAGCATTGCATTCATATGTTAGGTAAATCCCCCTCTCCAAAAATAAATGGTTTCCACATTCGTTCTATCTTGACTTTCCTGTTCTCTAAGAATACGCTTTCTGTAAATAATACCTGCAAGATAAAATTAACTGTTCAGCTAAAACAATTACCCTGTTTATAAAAGGTAAGTTTGTCGAGTGGTGGTGCTATGGTTACAGTTCTCCTGTGAGGTTTCGGATGCTGCCAATGATCCACATGCACGTGTTTCTCAATGAATCAATGTTCATGTTCAAGTATTGTATAATGTTTTTTTCAAATGTAGCTTTTATTCATGTGTTACCGAAACTATCATTGGGAATGTTTCTAAGAATACATCCTTGACATTATTCTGCATACTAGTATGAATTAGTAAAACCGGATGAGTGATCCAGAAGGTTCAAATTCTACATATTGTCAAATCTAGTAGATCCTGCATTTAGGGATGTTATGCTTCATGCAGCTCTAAGTTAACTAATGAGCTGACGCTTTTTTTTAATTCATGGGTCAAATTTTATGAATATTTCAGCTTTGATACTTCCTTCTTCAGCTGATGTTTGCAGAGATGTCAAAAACATTAATCGAAAATGACAACTTGAGACTATTTGACATTTTGACATGCTCTTTTAAATGTAAACATGAAAACATCGTACATGTAAACAAATAATTGAGTTGGTTTCCTTTTGAATTTGATCTCACTTTTGCACCTTAAAATGAAAATCAATTGGAAAACTAGTCCACAGGGCTTTGTTCACGTCTCTCGTAAGTTTTCCCTTGACGATAACGCAGAGGCCGTCAAAACTGAAATTAATATCCAATATTGTTCATTACGTAAGGAAAAAAGAGGCCAAAATGTGGGGATATTTTATAGTACAGTAGAACTCAGGCTGCGTAATCGGATAAAAATAGTACTTCTGTCTCCGAGCTACGAATATTTTCTGAATTAAATTGATAGGGTCTTCATCAAATATCAGGAGTATTAAGATGAATGGATTATGTTCTGAAAATATTCTGCAGAAATTTGATTTGATCTGACAAGGGAAAAGTTGCACTTTCAGACGAACGGAAAATTAAGGCCTTTTTTTGCCCTTAACTGATGTTATTCCATTTCTTAATTGTACTAATAATCATAACTATATGACCTTGACTCCTTCTTGAATCAATATAAAACATCCATGTATAAAGAATTTTTAAAAGTGCGTTTCTTCTTCCATCACGGTTTAATAAGGACTCATAACATAATCTCAAAATTTACTTTGCCAATGACTTGCGTTGTAAGATATGAGTAGAGATAATGACACTTTGATAGCATCGCAACAAAATGCTTAAGTTGAGGAAATCACTCAAAAATCAACAGATCTAAAGTTATGGTCTCAATAAAGTATCAAGTTTCAACCTGATCTGTAAGATATGACCTTGATGTTTATGATGATTATGATGTTTAGGTATCCGTTGGTGTTTGATATAAATACTCGAAATAGAATAAATTTCTATTTAGGGTACCAGACGAGTGTTATAAATGAAACACACATTCACTATTTCAATAATCAGCTGAGGTCACATATATCACATGTTTATACCACGGGCAACAAAATACTTTTGTCAAGTTCTAGTCCATCTGAGTGGGAAGTCTGTGAGTTTTGTTGAAATAATGACTTGTGGCAAACAGACAAACGGACAAACAGAAAACCGTGCCAAAACTATTTAATGTAAAAAAAATAGTATTCCGAAAAAATGGATCGGTAAAAACTTTTACCTATCATCGATTAAAACTGAAGATCTAACCATATCATTAACTCTTTATCCTATCAAAGATGTAAAAAAAAAAAAAAATGAGAAGACTAGTATTTGTATGTTTTGAAACGATTGTACATGTATCTAGGTATTTTCGGGTGAAATATTGCGGATTATCTTTTCTGTTTTTCAAACATTTATCGTATTTCATAATTATGTTTTTAAAAATGTTTCTACTTTCTTTTCTTCGTAAATTACAACAGTTCTGTGCGATTGTGTGTGCATGTTCAAATATTCTATGAATAGCGGGGATACTTGCGTACCGGATGACTATAAAAATATCTCAGGAAACAATGTCTTTTTTTCATTTTACAGACTCTTTATTGTGTGATTTATCACTATTTTTTAAACCTGGAAGAAAAAGAAAGCAATTTTATCTCAAATTAAATCGACAAATTTAGTCAACCAGTAGAGATATCTATGAAGATACTAACATGTACATGTACCTACATCAATGTAAATACGCTAACGGGTATTTCTATATTTGGCATTATATATACATGTATACTCTCGTTAGAGGAGCTAGCTATTGAAGTGTGAACAAAAAGTGCGTTCATTTTTGATACTTCCAAAGAAAAAAGTGAATAATTTTTAATAAAAGTTGACAGAAAACTGCAGATTCCACGTCATATCATAAAACACACACACTTACTTCCATAAGTTTATTATGAATTATTTAGAATCTAAGATAACTCATATAATGAAAATATGAGTGAAAAATTCTCGAGAAGGACGTTATATAATAAGCAAAAAAAAGTTTGATTTTTTTTATTAAACAATGCATACACCATGAATAACAGAAAAATACAACTATAACATCTCCACAAAGTGACATGAGTATATCAACAAAATTTTCCGGTCTACAATGTATATCTATAACGGAATATGAAAACAATATCCCTTTTTATAAAAAAGCAGAGTATTCTCCGTTTTGGGACCAAAAACAGAGAAGACTTGCTATTTTCTTTTTGACATCCCCTATCTCTCTCTTTCGACCTATTATATGCACCTGTAATTTATTTTTAAGTAAAACTTTAAATGAAATTTTTTTAAAAACATTACAGATTATCTATAAAATGAAGGTGAATATATGGCATCAAGAAAGAAATATATAGATACTAAAAAAATAATTTGATTTTTTTTTACGATGTAGTAATTACTTTCGTATTGGTAATATAAAAACGAAGAGTCGATTTGAAGTAAAAATGACAATATTCTTATGAAAGATATATGGGTTTAAACAGATATTTCGTTAAAACAAATCATATATGAAAAAAAAGTCAAACTTATCTTACATAATTTTTCAATGACGTCATCTTTCAAAATTTTCTTGTTGATATTTGATTAACAAACGGCTTAGATTGCTAGACAGATTTTTGTTGGCGCTTTGATATATGTTATATTCATTATTTATGTTTTATTTCTAAACATGCTCATATTGTATTGGTATTAGATAAGGAAAAAGAATGATTTAGATTTATATATTAACTCGGAGACATCCGAGTTACTTTTGCATACACAAATGATTGTTCTAAACAACACATCCATTACTTAGGATAGTTCGCGTCTTCTACAAATTAAAGCATTGCATCAACACATCATAACTGTACATGTATACCGAAAAATGAAGTCCTTATGAATAAAATTTGATTTAAAATGTTTGTATTTTGATTAAACATAAATAACTTAGATGTCTTAAATCCATTATCTTGTTCATCATAAACCTAAACGAAAATCTGACAATTTAAAACTTTTAAAATCTATTTATGAACAGTAACAAAAATATTGTAAAGATATCCACATTTTCAAAATGTACTACACTCTTTTGAAAAGAAACAAAACAAAACGAAATCACTGGACATCTATCAAAACCACATGTTTATAATTAGTAGAGTAATTGTAACGATTAAAATGTTATAAAAGAAAATTAGACTATGAATAGAGATTATCAACAATCAACAGGCTTCAGACAAGTTGTACAAACACCATTTGATAGCTAAAGCAACTGTTAAACACGAAAACTACAATTATAATTAACTTTTCATCGAATTCAGAAATCCGCCATTTATTTTTTTTTTTTTAAATCGAACTTTTAAGCCATTTTGATTGATAAATCTGTCAAACAATATGTTATCTATTTCAAAAGAAATGTTAAATAGAAAGCACAATAAATTGCAACATATTTTTTTAAACGTAACAAATTATATGTTTCTCTCATTCAACACGATAAAACCCACTGGGTCCCATTTCATCAACCAGGATAAATGTATGAAATTCATATTAATAATTTATTAATATACAACGTGGGAAAATCAAAAATTAACAATCAATGTCTTCTGTATCTTTTAAATATTAATTTACGGAATGCATTTCTGAAAGATGGGTTGAAAATTGTATATATGATAGGATTTAGCAAGCTATTTAGGTACCCTAGCCACAGAAACACGCTGAACATTGCAGGATGAAAGTCACACGAAGGACAAAATGGCGAGATTAGAGCTAGCAGGAAGAATGGAAGCCAGCATACAATGAATGCTCCCGTGATTATACCCAACACTCGGGCCGCCTTCCGTTCCCTCTTCATTTCTATCTTCGCTTTCCGAAGTCTTTCTTTATCACAGTATGGAACTTGTTTTGTGTTATTGTTGTTTGTATTCTTTGGGGGGTTTAGTTGTTTATTCAACACGTAGACATTTGAAGGGACCACTAGGAATCTTGTGTTAACTTCTGCTGTTTCGTCCTGTTCAGCCTCCTGAAACACTGGTTCCTCCGCCTGGTGGACACCATTGTACACAGTGTAGCCATCTTGACTTATGTCACTTCCGGAACTATTATGCCGTGTGGTAGCGTCAGCAGCCGTAATGGAAGGTCTTTGATAAGCACGCACAGGTCTGTGTAACCCACTTATATGTTTCTTACGAATGCGAGAACGTGCAGCTTTATAAATTTTAAGGTTTAGCACAACCATGAGAATTAAAGGACAATAGAATGCTCCTACGGTGGAGAATATAGTATAAGCTTTATCCTGGCTGATTTTACAAACCCCAGTGTGTTCAGGATTGTCTTCCTCTTCTTTCCATCCAAAAAGAGGCGCTATTGAAATCGCTATGGCAACCACCCAAACAACTGCAACCATACATAGTATTTGTTTAGCACATCGCCGCCGAATATAGTCAATATTGGACACCGCCCAGTACCTATCCAAAGAAATAGCTACTAAATGAAGAATGGACGCTGTACAACACAAAAGATCAAAAGAAGTCCACATGTCACATACAGCAGGCCCTAAATACCAGTACAAACTAATTTCATCAATCAACGAAAGCGGCATTACGAGAACGGCAACCATAAGGTCTGTCACTGCTAGAGACAAAATCAGATAATTTGAAACTCCTTGTAAACTTTTTTCCAGTATAATGGCTGATATCACAAAAACATTTCCGATGACAATGGAAACGATAACGCAACCGATAAGAGCACAGATAAAAATCATTAATTCCAAATCATACTTTGGTTCGTACTGGTAGCTAGTTAAGCTTTCATTGTCGGGATCAAACGTCATAATTTCTGGTCTAAGAGTCCCATTACTACTTCGTAATCCAAGCATTGGAGAATATATCACCTGACTGCTGCTATTATCCAAAGTCCCCGCTATCATTTTTCCTCCAAGATCTATCGAAATAATATTATCCATGTAACTCGTTCCGTTGCTTACTGAATTCTGCTGCTTAGCGTTCATACTCTGGCGTTTTAATAAAAGTCGATCAAGCTTGGTTTCCGATTTTAGCGTTAATCGGCTCTCTTCGGAAGCCCCTCAGGAGAGATCAGACATAAAATATGCGCGCGTTATAGTGTGACGCTGTCAATTGCCTTTAATATGCAGGCTCATCAGAAAACTCACAGGGTTGCCGCCAGTCAAACAATATTTGAGAACGATAGATCATTTATCGCACTGGCGGAGCGGGAAGTCGCTCTCTCAGCAGAAGTCTCGCGTGGCTTGGCGCCATATTGCGTTCATCTCTGCTCTCATCGATACTTTGAGTTCGTTTAAATTGGTGTTTATAAATTATCTCTCTTTGATTGATACCTTCTCCATGATCTCTCAGATACTTTCATCTCCGATTGTTAGCTACAATAGCTCTGAAAATATAAAGAATAAACAAGTTTTATGAAAAAAATTCGATCGATGTCATGTACGTCCTTAAATAATAATGTTTCGTAACATGTTGTGAAAAAATATGATCAAACTAAAGTACAACATAATACAAAGTAATTACTGTAACACATTAAAGTCGTTGTAACAAATACGCTACATCTGTGTGTGAATCATTAGTCTGCACTGTTAACATGAAAGCATAATACATAAGCAATGGAAGTGGACTCCAATAAGAAGCACTTAACAGTGTTCGATTACCCAAGTGAAGTTATTCAAATATGCTTAAAAGCCAGTTAGTAATCATATCATTAACATTATCATTGTCTGGCCCGGTCAACAGCCTGAAATGGCCGCTACTAAGCAGATCCATCTTCTTGTAATTGATGACATTATCTGTAACTACATGCCTCGTAATTATAATGGATTATTATTAAGTTACCAAACAGGAAGATCTCATATAGTCTTCATATTTACGATAGGGAAATGCAGCCAGGGTGAGGGGTCATCTCAAAACTAATTGACGAAAACACTTTCTTTTGCAATTGATAGTCTTTTGAAAAATTGATTTTTTTTTCACAACGTTCTTTGAAAATGTTGCTTAAAAGAAGCGAGACGACCCATAAAATAACAAATGAAATGTCAATTTAAGTTGATTGATTCCAGAAAAGAAAAGAATTACATAAACATGATATTACATCAGTTGAATTCGGTTGTTACAATGTAATGAAGTGTTAATGCCTTACATTTTAACCCGTGTACTAGTATTTACCAATTTTCAGAAATTTCTAGATTAGGAAATGAACAGACAAACTAAATGCATGGCGCAGCACAAGTGTGCGTTAACAATAAAAGAGATAAATGATGAATAAAAAGCAAAACACAAGGCATAAAGACTAAACCCTTATTCTATTTGACCGACTTTTCTCAACCAAAGCAACTGTAAGTTGGATAATATTAACAATCTCAAACTGCGAAATCCACCATTAGTGGATCTATTTGCAATCGATGTATTAACCTCGGAAACGTTTTGTCATTGCCGAATATACATTCGTAAAGTAAACTGTGTTTTGTTGATTTTTTGTTGACTTTGTGCAGCAACCAATCAAATCATCAGCGCATTTGAATTACATGCGAAGTTATTTTGGCGAGTTTGCCCACGTGTGATGAGTAAAAGACGAGACCGTGGGTATCCGACGGTGAACATAATTACACTGTTAGAATTTTTTGTGATAATTCTAAATGTAATGTACCTTTAATTAATAATATTATTAATTGATAAGATAATTCGAATTCTTATGTTTGTCAGCTACCAGTTTCGCTATTAGAAAATACACTTCCTTTCCATTTTGTACAGAAGGTCCAATGGTATGTGCATAAGTAAGCGTCTTAAGCTTTGCTCTCTTTAAGAACAACCTTATATAGTTAACTGGCACAAATGTATCGGGCTGCATAATTATTGTGTAATTCTTAGTTCTTGACATAAAATAATAAATAAATTAATTAATTAATTAATTAATAAAAATAAATAATAATTATAATGATAAAAAGCAATTGCTTGTTCATCATAAAAATGTAGTTCTAAACACTTTTTCAATTGGTGCTATAAAAGAAATATACGTGTCATTTTCATTTACTGTAAATTTGTTGTTTTTTTTAAGATTCAAAATCTTGTAAAATTATTAGATTTTACGTATATTAAACCAGCAGAAAATTATTACCCTGGAGTTGATAGATATTTTAAGAAATGAAATAAATCGAAATTTTTACATCATGCATCTTTTACAAATCACACAAGAGAGAAAGTGCCAAGTCCGGAGACTGTAAAATACTTAATCTCTGTTTATGGTCTTCAAAGGAAAACGGTAATAATTTTACTCAAAATTACTTCTTATTTATTTATAAAGCGACTTTCTAATGTTTTATCCAAACATTCTGCAGTCTGATTTTTTGTGTAGACAAAGGCCCCCCGAACACTTTTTTCACATTGATACAATTGATCGTTTTACTATTACTCTGTTTTTATATGGGTTCTGAGTGCAGCTTCTGACATATTTTAGGTATATTCTTCCATTTCCTGTGAGACGAGCATTATTTGTTCTTTATCCAGGATTGAAATGAACTTCAAGCCAGATTTTTGCTCAGTTATGAATATCATGACTGAAACTTGTTATCACATCTTTAGTATAAAATAAATAGCATAATAAAGCAGTAAATTATACAAAAATGTCCGTTACTTAGTGGACTGGGGTCAAAGTTTTTCCAAGAGCGTCAATGTCCAATATGGTCATTTTATGTTGTATTAGAACTATGATTCAACTTTTTTTCTTGCTAATTTTTGTTTTTAATGATGGTATAATAAGTGATAATATATGTTATTATTTATTATCAAAATAATGATGAACTGATATAATAACCACTCATTTTCCTGTCATACGTACATTGCTCTCTTTGAAAAAGCATATAACTATAATTTTCAATGTGTTCAGTCATCGTATTTTAAAGCATAAGTCAGAGTATACTGACTATGAACTAGAATTTTCACGGAAAACTACTCGAATCCAAAGTGTACACTTGAGATTAAATGAAATCTTTTGTCTTTGACGCGTTTCATAAAATGAATTCGCTTAGTCTGGGAGTAAGAGAAGCAACTTCAAATAAACAATTAAAAAATATATAAATGTACACCCCCTCTTAACTGCCACATATGGGTGACGTCATTGAAATATACTGAACAAAAATACCAATTTAAGACACGATCGTATTTGAAACTACAACCTGTATACGAGGATACAAAAGTTTCTCTTAATTGTTCACGTGGTCAAACGGAAGATCTTTTTTCCATTTCTTCTTTACATTTAATAAATTTGAATGCCCAAGAGAACAATTTGTCATAGTAAACAATTTTCTTCAACTTTACTAGATGACTGTAAATGCAATCATCTTTGATTTTTAATAAATTGAATATCTTTCTACCAATGTAAATAATCATATTTTTTAGTATTCAAAAACACTGGAAACTGATGTAAATTTTAATTATTTATTTTTAGTACCTTTGAATTTATCTTATTCATGTAACATGTATCATTATGTGTTTTATATACATGTGCATGAAAGGAATTTGATGTATTGTAATGGAAAATATTACATGAGTGGCACGCGGTTTTGTTTTAGATACTAACGAGTGCACAGCGCGCTTGAAAATACAAAAAACAATCTGTCTCAAGAGTGGAATAAATACCACATCTAACCAAAAAAAAAAAAAAAAAAAAACCACTTTGAATTCTCCGTTAATATCATTTTTGGTCGTGTTATCTCTCCTGTCTTTGGATTGAAGTTTTCTTTGTTGTGACGTCCTCGCGGAACGGTTAATACATGTAGTAAGCTACACGTCAAAGCTAAGCGATTTTGAGATTGAACCTTGTAAATATGGATTTTAACAATAACATTTTGCAGTTTTAGTCTGTTTCAGGATGGTTATATAATCAGACCCTTATCTACAGGGAGCTTCTTTTTTTTTTTCAAATATTACTCTCTGTGAAGAGACAGGAAATTTAATTTTGTTGCATTTTTTCCTCACAAGTGAAAGTATCACTTTTTAATTTTCATTGTGAAACTATCACTTGCCAAAAATCTCACTTTTATTAAAAGGATAAATTACAGTATTTCACTGTTGAAAATGTAATGAATGTTATATTTTGACAACCAATGAATCATTGTGTTTTACAAAGAAAGGGGGTTTTGTGTCTAATCCCTTGGTGTTTTTGTGTTTATAATATCGCTATCTCCATATTTCATTAAAAAATATGTTCAAAACAAACTAAACTAATTTTCACTATGACAGAGATTAGTTTCAGAAATCATATAAATAAAGAGGGTTTCGACGTGTCCATGGATCTAATGTTCCTCTGTTGAATTCATGGAAAAGTCTTCTCCGTTCTTTTACTATACATATTTTTTATGGATTTCCTGTGCATGAACATCAAACCATACCACTAAATTGTATGAAGAAATTGATTTTCTGAGTATACTTTATTTGTTTATAGGAAAATGACGAAATTTCTCAAAGTTTGATTATTTATATTTTTGAATATTTTTATGCCCGAAGAAAAATACTTTTAACCCAATCCCTCAAGCATGAGCAAGCATGCTTATCACTCATCAACAGACTCAGTTGAACACTGGAAATATATTCACTTTAATCACCCGAGTCAAAAACCACCCACAACTATACACATCTTTGAAATTCAACAAATATAATTTAGTAATTTTTTTTTACACTTCATAACATTTGAATGTAGGAAAGGCATGGGCTTCAGAAGCAAACAGGATCTTCAAGTAAATTATTAAAACACATCGGCAGGAAGGAGTCACAACTCACGAGTTTCATTGATATTTCTTCAGTTTCCTCATAATGAATAAGTCATCATTAGCAGTAAGTATGGACACTGAATTGCAGAGGATAATTTATGGTGATGTCCCTGACGGTAACTGCACTCTTCTGTCTTTTTATGTACCTTTCCTACTGGGATTTCTGATTGCACTCACACAATCCTAGCAACACTAGGATGTTAGATGGTGCCATCTGCTTGATTAGAATAATGCACAAATTGCCCTAGTAAGTCTTCACTTTTATCTATATCCAGCTTTTGTCTACCAACCTAAGTATTCTCTCTGTTTCTCCACTGTGTCATCAAGATTGTCTCTTTAATAGCTAATATCAGTTTGATTAAAAATTGAGATATTTTTTTAATGTATAACCTTGAACTGTTTGTACTTAACATCATTCCTACAGTTACAATTTCAAAATAAACCCATAAATCACACTATCGAAATTGACTAAATATTTGATTACTTTTGTAATAGAAATATTAAAGTATCTAGATTATTTAAGAGAAGTACAGTCGTATTTTGCATTTTTCGGTAAATTTAAGTGAATTCCGTTCGAACACTACCCAAGTGCTAGACTGGAAAATCTTATCTTTGT